GGGCCCAAACAAGCAGGCACTCCAGACCTTCAGACCAGAATCCCTCATCCAGGGCCCTCGCCAAGCTCGATTGCGCAAGACCAAGACACACATATCAACATCAAACAACAACAAGTATTGAGCATTAATGCCATTATCCACAAACATGCGTTTCCATATTCAAAAACATGTGTTCATGCTGGTCTTGGTTCATGCATCGCATCACGCTACAGTACATGACATACTGTTGTTTGCATATTTGCACAGGCACATACATCGAAGAAACGTGTCTTCATCACTTGCTACCCTAAAACCCGAAACCCTAAACCCTAACCCCTAAAACCCTAAAACCCTAAAACCCTAAAGCACATAGACTTGCGGATTTGCTGTGATCCCAGCGAAAGCCGAACAGGAGCCTGCCGCGCAGGATTGGTATCCGGAGCCGCCCGGTTGCAGAAACAGGTCTCTAGACCCCTATAAACCCTAATGGCCCTAATCCCTAAACATAAGCCCTTCCTAATCCCGAAGCCCCTATAAACCCTAACTCCTAAACCCCTATAAACCCTGACTCCTAAACCCCTATAAACCCTAACCCGGTGTGGGAGTTTGAGGCCTCGGCTCATGACTTTGAAACCCGGAACCTTACCGTCAGCACTATAGGGGCTTAAATAAATTACCTATACTATTTTGGAGGTTCCTTTTTGTAACTCTAGTATAATGGGCCCCAAAACCCTATTCTAAGTATTAAGGCCCCTATATTACCCAAATCCTCTGCCCTAAACTCTGAGCTCAACGCCGTCAGCCACCCTTCACACTGAACGGCGGAACTTCCAACTCCCTAACCCGGAAAGGTGCTATGGGAGTTTCCGAAAATAGGGCACCCTAATATAGTACCCTAAATAGTAGGATCCTTATTATAAGGACCCCCAAAATCAGGTACCCCTGTTTTCGGAAACCCCCATATGGAAAGCCCCTGGTACAACCCATGGAAGCTGTTGCATGAATCCTGTCAAAGTACGGCGTAAGTTCCAAAGCCAGTTTGGAGTTTAAAATTTAAAGCAGCATGTAAGAACCAACTCAAAACCCTCACCCTCAACCGGCGGCCGAAGCCCCAGACCTCCACCCCTAAGTTAAGGAGCCATTAAAAGCAAGGAGCCTGACAACTCCCAGAGCCCTGCATTTTCCAGAAAGTCAACACCCCAAAACCCCGGACCTTGGCATCCCCCGAAAAACAAAGAGCAACGAAACCCAACTCCCTAAACCCGATACTACAGGTCTTTAGTTTCACTAAGTTGAGGGCAAAATGCCAGCACCGCTTTGGAGAAAGGGGGGCGTATCAACTTGACAAAAGAAAGATACCCCTGAGTCGGCTCCTTCGCTCTTCCGGCCCAGGCCTCCAGCGGGGCCCACTCGCAAGCCGGGACTGGGAGGCCGAAACCGGTAGTGTCTGGAGGATCAGGGGACTTAGTAAGTGAGGTTAAAAGTAGTTACTAGTACCTGCATTAGGGGCTATAAGTAATGATCGCTGTTGTAGTCACTGCTAATAGCACCACTTTGCGGAGCTTCCAGCTTCAGGCTTTTGGTTTAGGTTACGGGTGTAAGGTTTTGGACCTACGGCTTGTGGTTGCAGGACACTGTTTGCGGCTATTGCTATTGTTTTCTTCTGAAAGTTCCCTTCTTTTGAAAATACTCAACAGCGGTTTGAGAGAGCTCTGCTGGGCCATTTTGGATATGTGAGTGATTTATGTGCTTGTCTGTAGTAAAGAACATCTTTTGTTTTGCGACTCGGAGCTACAAGTGCTTTTCGGTGTCCGTTTGTCCAGCGTCGTAGGCTGTGTTGTAGCACTGTTGCTGCTGCTAGTGCTGTGGTGCTACGTATTGAATTGGGATTTCTGGTGTTTTCTGATGGCAACGCTTACGCACGTTCACCGGGCAGTCTTGTACTTCCCAATTCATAGTACTTATGGTTGTGGCTCTTTCCTTGTTGCTGCTATCGTCTTCGTCGCCGCCTGTTGTCTCGTCGTCATCTTCCTATATATAGGAGAATTGCTTTGCCATGTAGGTTTCGCTTTGAACTGCGAACTTCAGTGGTTTCTTAACTGGTGCCGCTATTGCTACTGTCTGATGGCTGCTGTTGTCTCATTGTCTCCCCAAATTGCAGCTGCGGCTGCATGAGAATGTATGAGAGCTGGTGGCTGGAGACGGTGGAGGGAGGTCTGGAACTAAGCTGTACCCTTATCTGGTGGGACAGCGCGCCACCAAACTCCGTGCGAGGGTCCTGCACACTGTTCAGGCCGCCGTTTGCTAAAGCCTGCCGGGCGAACCTCCTCCTCCTTGCGAAAAATACTTGTTATGTTCGCTTTGCACCGAAAGAGCCCGGAAACATCCAGGTATTTTATGTTCACCCTGAACCGAAAGAAAACGTAGGAGGCCCGTGCAACGTATGCTCTGTGTAGGGTGACAAGGGGGTGGGGAGAAGAGACTGTCGTGTTGGTTGTGTTCGCCTTTGAAGTGAAGGATAAGGGAGGGGGGAGACTAGGCACCCGAAGCCCTAAACCCTAAACCGACACTGCCGATGTGCTCTCGGCCGAGATTAGCGGACGTGCTCCAGCCATCTGGTCATACCTAGAGCATTGCAACCGAGCTGCACCAGTTTCGGGCTTGGGGGTCGCGGGTCTGAATTGCCTTTGTCGGAGTCGGTGTAGGGTTGCACAGCTAGGCCATTTAGGGTTCGGGGTTCAGGGTAAAAGGCTTTGGGCAACTTTAGCCTGAATTACCTTAAGCCCTAAACCCATGACTGGGTTCCCCCTAGCTGCAAACCGAAAATCGTTGAGTGAAGGATTCTGCCGGGCCTGGGTAGAAGCCAATCAGTACAGACAAAGCAGAACGGCTTTATGGCTGCGCAGACCCGAAGCTAGAAATCTCACCATTTGGGCTTGGGCGAGGGTTTAGGGGTTTAGGGGCCAAGGGTTTAGGGTTTAGTAGTTTGGGGTTCAGGGCGTCAGGGGTTTAGGGTCCAAGGGTTTGCCATGTACGGGTTTGGGGTTATGGAGCAACACGCCCTGCCTATGCTCCGTCCTGCCGAAGAAGACAGAAAGTTGGAACATCATTATCTCCATGCCCTTCAGGTAAAGTACTTGCACTAACATCCTTAATCCACGTTCCAACTTTCTGGGGTTCCGGTCCTGCCTGGTGGGCTTCCTCGCTCGAAAGCCCTGCAGCGTGCAGTGGCCCTCAAACGGGTTTGGGTGTCAGGTTGGTCTGGGGTTTTGGAGTTGTGGCAATCTGGATGCCGGATACATATTTGGGCCTGGGTCGGCATCGGTTGTTGAGGTGAGCACCTGCATCCCAGGTGATTGACGGTGCATCTGAGGGCAAAGCTAAATCGGCTCCCCTGTGGCTTCGGAAATAGAGGTTGGCAAGGAATAGTGTCAGGAAGGGCCTTGCGCTGAGACGACGTCTGTCGTTCAGGATTGGGTGGTTTTTGGAACAATGCACAGTCGTCGCATGGCCCGTCGCAGATGCGGCATGTGGCAAGTCTTAGACCGTCATCTTGCACAACCGCCAGACGAACATTGAAACATCTTCAAATCAAGTAAAGTGAATAGTAGGATGTCGGTAGGTGTATACAGGGCTCGGTTGAAGTTTAAGGGTTCGCGGATTGCGCATGGTCAATATGAATCTGTATGCAGATTCTACGTAAGCCACCCCCAGCTAGGGGCTTGAGGAAAGAATGCTAAACCGTAAACCCTACACCCCCCTGACCTGAAGCCAAAACCCCAATGACAGTCTCTTGGGAACTTGCTCGCACGTCCGCGGAGATGAAGTGTCACCCAGGTTCTGGCTCTCAGGGTCTGGGGCTCGAGTATGTGAGAGACTTGGGCAAAGCCTTATCCTCAACTCTATACTTAGCCCTCCGTACGGCTTCAGTTCTACGCCCTACGCCGTGATCTTCAAAGGAACCCCTCAAAGGAACCCGTCTTCTCACAATTAAGGCCCCTATAGGCCCAAAGGCTCGAGCCGCTGAGATCAAAGCAAAGTTGACACTGGCAAAGCCAGTTTCGAGCACTTTGACACCGGGTGGGGGAAAAAGCGTTCTGGTGCTTAAGGTGTAGGGTTTGTCGTTCAGGGATGCTGTCAAGCTTGGATGAAGGCCGTGTGCGACTTCGGCGTCATCAGGGTTTGTGGTCTCTAAATCAGTCCTACGGAAGCGCAGCTGCCGAGGTGGAGGCATTGGGCGTGGAAGTTTTAGTTGAAGAAAGTGCTTGATGCAGTTCCGGTTCTTGAGTTTGCATTGGGCAGGGCTTGGCTTTGCGATTTAGGGTTTATGGGCATTTGGGACTTCACAGGCCCGCCCCGGAACAAATCCCTAAACCCTAAACCGTTTGGTTTTGGGGCTCCGTCGCCGGGTTTCGGCAGTTCCATGGGTCACAGCAAGCACAAGACCTTTCTACACAAATGGGAGTTTCCGAGTATTAGGGGTACCTTATTTTGGGGTCCTTGTAATAGGGATCCTACTATTTAGGGTACTATAATAGGGTCTCACATTTTCGGAAACTCCCAAATGAAGCCGTAGGATTCACGAACCATCCATCCACCGCACGAACAGTCACAGTGTCGCGTAAGGAAGAAGATTGTTACACTGTCCTGACTAACTCCGAAGCACTTGTATCCCGAAGCTCTCGTGCATGCTCAAATCCTCTATATTTACAGGTGTGTGAGAGGAAAGTCGATAAAACCTCCCCCTGAGTTGATTCCTCAGATCCTGCACGCTATAGACATCCTGAACCCCGCAGCCCTAACTCCGAGCTTGGAATCATAAAGATAAATAAAACAAATTAAAATAAGACTGTGAACAGCAGGAATGCTGCAAATAGGGGGCCCGTAATGTGTTGCTTTCTGTAAAGGTATCATATTAAACTACATCATACTGTAATATAACGTGTCATAAGCTGTTTCGATGATACTTATACTTCAAAAAGCACTCTAAACCCTCCAAGTTCGCGAGACCCCCTTCGCAGGGAACCCAGGCTCCTGTCAACTCCCAGGACTATCTCGCCACCCGGCATTTGGTTTCAGTTGTTTAGCGTTCAGGGGTTTAGGGTTTACGGTTTAGAGTTTAGGGTTTAAGGTGTAGGGTTAAAGGTTTAGGGGTGTCGGGGTTTGGATTTGTGTGAACTCACCTGGGTTTCCATTTGATCTTTGCCTGTTCCTGGGACTTACTGCAGAAATGGTCTGTTACTTCAGGATTCAGTTTTTTTTTAATCTTTTCAGGTTTTCGGCTTAGCGCTGAGAATTGAGCTTCAGTCGCAAGGTTTAGCACGTCGTAAGGTTTTTTTCGGATACGGGTTTCAGATTTGGGAGCTTCCGCAAATTAGGAATACCTTATTGTGGGGTCCTTATAATAAGGATCCTACTATAGGGTGCTATAATAGGATCCCCTATCTTCGGAAACTCCCATTTAGGGATGAGAATGCACGGCTCAGGGTTGAGTGGCTGACGGCTTGGTTATTACCAGCGCCGCCACCTTTAGCCGCTACCACTTCCACTGCCCTTGCCACTTCACAAGGGCGATCATTGTTGTCTGTGTTGTTGTTTCTGCCATGCTGCATTCACAGCTTCTTTTTGATATTCCGGACTTGTTTGCAGCATGCACATACGTTCGAGCCCCTTTTCAGTGACAAATTTTGGTGGGGATACGGCTGGATCAGATGTTCAAAAAATGGAGTACAGGGGTAAGGACGGCCCCTGCAGACCAAAGGCCCCATACAACCGCGAAAGCATGACACTGAAGTGCCCTATACCCTGAACCCCGAGCCATAAATCCCTCAACCCCAATACCCCCAAATCCTAAACCTCAAACCCTTCACTCTAAACCGCAAAACCCCTAGACCCTAAACCCCAAACCCTAAACCCCTGAACCCTAAACCCTAAAGCCCTAAAACCCCCCCAAGCCCTTCTTGCGGAACTGGGGAGTCTCCTGAGGTCCTGGAACTGAGCTCCGGGCCTGTTTGAAGAGACCGCCGCGGATTTTCAGGGTCCGGTGCAGCAGCTCAGGGCTTACTTAAAGGATCATGGGACTTAGTAACCTAGGGTTCCTTAAAGGGCTCCAAAAAAGGGATCCATAAGGGCTCTATACGAGGGGGTTTTGGGGTTACTTAAAGGATCATGGGACTTAGTAACCAGGCTTCCTTAAAGGGCTCCTTAAAGGGATCTATAGGGGTTCCTTACAGGGATCTATAGGGTTTAGGGTTCGGGGTTTACTTAAAGGATCATGGGACTTAGTAACTAGGGTTATAATTAGGGTAACTATACTTATAACTACTTATAACCCCAATTAATTAGGGTCCTATATTATAGAACCCCACTATAGATCCCTTGCAGTGTTATAGACCCCTGTCAAAGGAGCCCTATTCTAAGTATTAAAACCCCGGTGCAGCAGTTCAGGCTTTCGGGGTTCAGGGTTTAGGGGTTCAGGCTTTAGGGGTTCCGGGGTTCAGGGTTTACGGGTTAGGGTTTAGGGGAGTAGGGGATTATGCTTATTCGTGAGTGAGGCTTGGGATTCGCGACCTTGTACCCAGCTCCCTCATCATCTTCTGAAGCCAGGCATGTCTATTGCAACACCGGAGACGGGCAGCCGGCGCCGGACCACCCTATCGACCAGCAGGGTGCTTGAAGTCAGGGGTTTAGGCCGATGCTATGACAAGAAGGTGTTTTACCTATACCAGATTCGTGTGCTGTCCAGGACCATATCGCTGCTGCCCGAACTCTTAAGTCCCGATATACCACACAAAGCCCAGACCCAAATTGAAACCTAAACCCTGCACCCCTCGGTGAAGGGTCGGGTTTGTACTGCTCTAACCAAGGCTCATCCTTGTATAGGAATTCTCTTCTCCTAAAGGCAGTGAGAAAAGGAGCCCACAAAAAAGGCCAAAACCTTGAACTCATCTAGCACCCTCTTTAGTTAAACCTTAAACCCTTATGGAGCCCTTGTCCAGCCCCCCAGACGCCAGTTGAATCCTTATGTCCTCGGCACTTTGCGAATACCCTTATTGAGGGCCACATTCCATGGTTTAGGGACCCAAGCCCAGGGGTACAAACCCTAAGGGTACAAAGGAAAACTCCTTGACCAAGGTCCCTTGCAAACCCTAAACCCTAAAACCCTAAACCCTAAAACCCTAAAGCCCTAAAACCCTAAACCCTAAAACCCTAAAGACCTAAACCCTAAAACCCTAACCCCCTAAACCCTAAACCCTAAACCCTAAAACCCTAAACCCTAAAACCCTAACCCCCTAAACCCTAAAACCCTAAAGCCCTAAACCCTAAAGCCCTAAACCCTAAACCCTAAAACCCTAAACCCTAAACCCTAAACCCCAAAACCCTAAACCCCAAGCCCTAAACCACCGCCAAGGTCCCGAGGGCCAAGGTGATTCCGAAATGGATCGGCTCTCAGCTTCGTAGCTTGCTTCACGGCTCGGGCTCCCTGGGTTCTAGGGTTTTCTATAAGGGCTACTATAAGGGATCTAGAAGGGTTAGTATAAGGGATCTATAAGGGTTACTATAAGGGATCTATAAGGGTCCTATAAGGGTTCTAATGTAGGAACCTGATTGAGAAACCTTGGGCCTTTATTAGGGTTCCTTATTTGAATCCTGCTATTTTGCGGTTATAGGCCCAGGGTTTCTTAATCAGGTTCCTACATTGGTTTTAGTGTCCTAGTGTTTTGGGATTTGAAGTTTAGGGCTTGGGATTTTTCTATTGGGTTCAAGTGTCGGCAAGGGTTCAGGGTTGCAGGTCTGGTGCTGGCCTTGAAACCTACAGCCCGACTGGCATAGGGTTTAGGGTTTAGGGTTTAGGGTTTAGGTAATCCCCCAAATCCAGAACTACTCAGCGTCAAAGAAGTCTGGACGCCCTGATATGGAAGACTCAAGAATAAATCATACACACTACTACTCCTTAGGCTTCCTGAATATCACTATACTATAACTTACTCCCCCAATTTCGGGCCCTGTAGTTAGGCCTTAAAGCCAAGTATGACATCTGAGGAGTTGGCGCTTGAGCTGGTGAATCATGTCCGGCCGGGCGCTTGGAGGGCCCTTGGCTCGATATCGGATGAGCCTCGTAGTACAGGTTGTAACCTTTAACTGTTTTGGGGTACTGTAGTCCAGAAACAACTCCAATATACTCCCAAGAACTAAGCTTCAGTTTCCCAGAATACGGGGCAAGTAGGCAACGAGCCTACGCGTTTACAGCCAGGGTGTACGGTTTCGGGTCCTTCCAAAGGAAAGAATCTATAGAATATGCACCGTTGTGTCTGTGTAGGGTTGAATAGGGTTTAATAGGGGCTCTCCAAGTTCAATGTGGCATAGTGGCCTAGTACTCAAGACGAGACATCCTCTAGCCGGTCCTGTCCGCGCTCCTTGAGCTTCTGCGTAGAGCCTTATAATTACAACAAAAATCCCAGACGCAAGTCTAATCATTAAGGCCCCTACATTAGGGTGGTGCGAGTTGTGAGGCCTGAAGTTGCCGACCGCCTACTGCAGAGGCTTTCCGATTTTCGGAGCGGGCTTCATCCGGTCATGCTTTGGACTTCAGGTTGTCTCGTGTGCTAGTTCCTCGAACGTTCTTTTGCAGACTTCTGTGATCTGACAGTCTTTTCCAGTCTTGCATTGCCGAGCTCTTTCTTCAAGCTGGGACAAGCGTGATTCGCGTCGCAGTACTTGCGACTACGAGCTTGCAGCTGTAGGCTTCAAGCAAGTTTTGCTGTATGGAAGCAAAGCGGCCTTGGCGTCGCAAGCTCTTTGCTCTGTTGCTTCGAGTTGTGACACGAGCCTGTCTACTGTGGTCTTAGTTATAGGGCTTGTAGTAACTGTAGGTTTTATGGTAGGAGCACTGGTGTATAAACCTCAGACCATTTGCACTTTCGATCATAAGCACCATGTAGACAAGCGGCATCCAGGGAGCTCCATGCGCAGCTTGAAAAGACCAGTTGTTGTAGCAGGGCTTGGAGTATTTCGTAAGTAACAGATCCTCTTATGCCTTCTCGTTACAAGATAATATGCCTCAAGACCCTAGGTTCATTATTCGGCCCCTACATTATCGATTCCACTTTGGGGCTTGGCTTGGCCAGCCATGAGAGAACGAAACTTCATCAAACCAAGCAAGCCATGCAGCCACTGAACAACCCCGAGATGTCGAGCCGTGCGTGGAATGCTGAAGCAAGAAAGAAACACTGGAGCCTTAAATCCTGAACCGAAGCTAAGCCTAAGTCGCGAGGGCCACGCATTGCACTGAAATCCTGGAACCTTAAAAACCCGAAACCCTACGACCCTCAAGCCCAAACGCCGGTAACCCTAAGCACTACACTGTGCGATAAACGGGTGGGAATAAGTACGAGTAGTATGCCCTTATAGTCCCATATAAATGTACAACCCTTGCAGAATTCTGGTCGAGCCCTTGAAAGCGGGATGCCCTAAACCCTGGAACCTAAAGCCTAATCCCAGACCCTGAACCGTAAAGCCTTGACCCGAGACCCTAAACTCTAAATCCGAAGCCCTAAACCCTAAACCCTAACCTAAATCTCTGAATCCGAAGCCCTAACCCAAAAAGTAGTTAAGGCCTCGACAGAAGAGACTCAGTGAGCCGGGGCACGGTCGCAGGCTTCGGGGGGCAGAGACGGCGAGGCAACTTGCGGAGGCCGGCAGGGTGTTCTTTCTAAAGGGCATTTATGGTTTTGTGTAGGGTTTTAAGGTTTAGGGTTTCGGGTGTAGGGCTTTAGGGGGTTTACACACGGTCTATATTTAACGGGCGTCAGGGCTTTTAGGAGCAGTTTCCGAAAATTAGGGGTACCGAATTGGGGTCCTTATAATAAGGATCCTACTATTTAGGGTGCTATATTAGGGTCCCCTTTTCGGAAACTCCCATATGAGCGTTTAGGGGTTTAGGGTTCAGGTCTTAAGGGCTTTAGTGTTGAGGGTTTTAGGGTTTAGGTCTTACGGGCTTCAGGGTTTAGGTGTTATAAGGGTTTAGTGTTTTAGGGTTTGGATCTTGTAAGGGTTCAGGGTTTTAGGATGTAGGGCTGTAGGGCGTAGTTTCGAGGTTTTGGGTTTATTTAATGGTTCAGGGTTTAGGTTCTACTTGTACCCTCACTTACAGAGGCCACGAATACCCGACCATTGCAAAAGCTGGCAGTCGACCCGATTCAGATCTAATTTCAGAGCTCCACCCCACAATAAAGGGGTTATGACTTGCTGTTGCTGTAGGGTTTCGGGAACTCTGAATCAGGAGAAGTTTAGGGGATTAGGGTTGGGTTCAGAGTTGTAAGCTATAATCCCAAGCAGACGAAAAACAGAATCGCTAATGCAGCTCTTAGATTTGGGATTGCTCCTTGAAGAGTTGGGAGGCGTTAAAATCTGCAAAAACGTCGGACCGTAAACCGTAAACACATAAACCGTTCCCATAAACGGTTCCATGTCGTGTTACAAAGTTTCATGGGCTTTGGTGGGTTCGAATTTATACTTCCTGGTTTTAGTGTGTGGACTGTGGAGTTCCGAGTTGACTCTCGAAGACACGAAGCCCTCCAGCCTCGAATCCGTTCCGCAGGCCATGAGCCGTGAGTTGCGATTTGTAGAAATCCACTTCAAACGTGTGATGGCTGGGTGGCATGCTCGGGCTTTGGATTGGTAAAACCCCCAAGGTGTGTAAGCGGGTCAACTGCCACGGATTCTGCCACAGGAGCGCTTCCAGCGCGCACGATCGCAGGTGCGTCTTTTCGTGCTTCTCTGGGTGTAGAGTGTAGGGCCTCAATGCCCACAACGGTTTGCGCCAGCCCTAGGCCAGCGTCACAACCTGGGATTCATCTACCGTCATCTTCAGCCTGTTCGGGGTCCTCGCTGCAAGCATCGACGTACTGTGATTGCAATCACCAGCAGCACATCTAGCACTTCCTCACTATCACCACCATTGTCGTCGCTACCATGAGCGTCATCGTCCTGATTGTAACTGTTAGCATTGCAGCCACCACTTTGCCAAAGACCATCACAATCACCGTCGCCATGCTCATCTCCATCGGCATGGCTATCCCCATTGTCTCCATCATAATTTTCGCACTCATTATCGTTGTTCTCGGCACTGCGTGGTCGCCATCCTCATCACCGTCCTTACCACAGCCACCCGGATCATCACAATCATGATCATCGCCACTCCCGTCACACTCACCATCGCAGTGCCGACCACCACGACCAGAAGCGCCAAAGCTTCTTCACCCAGCCGCAGAACCAATTTTCACAATCCCGGGAGATGATCGTGCATAGCCACAACACAAGCCCTCGAAGCCACGACAGTCCAGAGCGCCAGCGATGATGCCACATAATGATGCTGGTGATGAAGATGCTGCTGCTGCTGGTGCTGTTGTTGTTGGGGCTACGGGGGTGCTTTTGATGACGGTGACGGCGAGGATGGCGGTTACGACAACGGCAGCACGACGACGACAGACAACGACGACGACGACAAAGAGAGCAGACTGAGGACGACCAGGAGGACAGACGATGACGAGGATGGCTACGACGACAACGGTGCTGGTGGTGCTTATTTTCGTATTATGGTGACTGGGATGATTGATTGCTGTTGCTACTAATATTCACTACCGAAGAAGCAGCAGCAGCAACAGCAACAACAGTGGACTCTGTGTTATCGGGATCGCAGCTCGCATGTTCATGCTCTAGCGAAAAGATGAGACCAGCGAGGGGCACTCAGGGGTACAATAAGCTTGTTGCCAGGAGGGCCGCTGGTGCCGGTGCGGCCGCTGGCCCAGGGAGTGTGAGATTGTCTGCTTCGAGTTGAATTGAATAGTGTGAATCAAGCCCTATCAGAATTACTACGGTTGATGATATAAATCCTGCATTACCTTAAGGACCCTAAACTATGGGAATTATGGTATATTCCTTGTTATGGGTAATGCAGGATTTATACCATCAACAGTAGGTCTCCTACAGAGAGATTCCAAGTTCGAAGCACCTGGGGCACTCCCCAGGTCGAATCGTTGACGTCGCCCTTGTCCTGACTCTGCTGGTGCTCTTGGCTGTTCAGGCTGCCTTTCCCAAATTGTCCCTGTAGGCATTCCATCATGAGTTTTGGTACCAAGCAGAATAGGAATGCCGGGTAGTGCAGATGCTCGTTTGGGACGAGATAGTAGGATCTTCACCAGAAAGACTCCCAATCAACACAGCGTTCAGTTGTGAGAACCCAACATGTCTTGTGGGCTCAAGATGGACGATTTCTGTAATTAGGGACTGAGGCATGAGCAACAGCCCCTTGTATTCTTTATGTTTGGACATTACTTGGAGGTTCATGGGTAGTTATAAGTAGGGTTATAAGTTATAAGTCTCCTAATATGACGTATAAGCATAGTTACCCAACTTATAACCCTACTTACACCTACCCATGAACCTCCAAGTAGCCACATGCTTGCAGGTCGCCGACGCAGTCTCCCAGCTTGGGCCGAAGGAACAGCCGGCGCAGCCGCCGCAAGCGCCGACGAGACAGGACATCGCAAGCCACTATTACCCAGACCCCGAAAGTATGTAGAATAGTAGCCTTTTATAGGTTTTGTGCCATCATTCTGCTTTCTTTTGAGGGTTTAGGTAAGCTCTTTGGGTTTGCTTTGTTGTTGGGGCCTACAGGGGCTTGCGAGAGCTTCGGCTTCAAGGTCTGCAAATCTTGAGATGGGTTTTGGTAGAGCTGCGTGAGGGTGAGGTTTAGGGTTTAGGGTTTAGGGTTTAGGGGACCTCATGGGGTGTATGTCTCAGGTAGTGTGTTGGATCCACAGGCCTAATGCCTCGAAGGGTTCGTTGTTGGAGAATATGGCGGTGTGACTTAACAACTAGACTAGCGTTGCCTTAAGAGCTTCTTAAAAAAGGTTTCTATTAAGGCTTCCACGATACAGGAGCCTGAATGATATTGTACCATACCTAAATAGGGATCCCGTTAACACTAGCCTTACTATGGCAGGTGCTATTCGTATTAACCTCCCGATCCCTGGATCCCCAACCGATCTACTCTCCTTTCACTACCTTTTCAGGGTTCCTTATTATGGTTCCCATATATAATTCCTTAACAACATCGGTTCTCTGGGCCTCAAAAAATATTTAAACCTTTGTGGCGAAGGAGTCTCCTCCTGCGCTGTTTAGCCGAGTACCAGCTCATGAGCTTCAGGAGGCAGCTGCAATCTGTAGCATAGGATTTAGGGCTTTAGGGGTTTGGGGTTTAGGGTTTTAGTGTTTAGGGTTTAGGGTATAAGGGTGTAGGATTTAGGGCTGCCGGGTCTAGGGGTTTGGAGTTTATGTCGTCGTTTAAAGGTTCGGGGTTGATTTCAATGTTGTGGTAGTCTACGAAGCAGCACCCAGGTGTTTTCAGAGGTCTGTTGTCCCCAAGGTTGGGGAGTTTGTTGGTTCGGGGGTTCAGGGTTCACGGTGGGTTCGGAGGTGGCTGTGAAGGGTTCTGGGTTTCTCGCACTCCCCAGTAGCTTACGTCGAAGAACTTACATGAGTACCTTGGTATAAAATGCCCGGTGCAGCATGAATCATCCGACATATTCTTGCTTAGAGTTGATATTACGAGTTATAGCTACACTATGACTATGATGTAATTTGTTACGCCAAAACCCTTTGTAATCATGAGGGCCTTTATGCTACTTGCAAAGAGGCGTTGGACCCCAAAGCCCACCAACAGCATCCAGACCTGTCCAGTCCGTGAGCTTCAATCTGGTGCGGTCCCGTCATCAGGTGAAGAGCCCAAACCCCTTGGAGTGAGAATTCTACGGTGGATCTCTATCAATTCCCGTTTGCACCTACGAATACACCCGATCAGTAGGTATGAGATGCCGCGTGTCACCCTGCTTCTCAGGAGAATGTCTCCGACAGCAACGTCACCTGCGAGGCTTCCTCTTTTGACCTGTTCGGAAAAGTAGACCCAACAGTTGGAGTTGCAGTTATGGCAGAAGCCCAACAGTCACAGCAATGCCCTGAATCCGGTTTCCAATTTGGGAGTTTCCGAAAATAGGGGACCCTGATATGGTACCCTTAATGGTAGGATCCGTATTATAAGGACCCCAAAATAAGGTACCCCTAATTTTCGGAAACCGCCAATTTTCTGAGGTTCACTATAGGATGAACGGGCTTGATGGTGTGGAAGTGGGAGGGCTCCTTCTCCACTTCAAGAGCATGAGGGCTCAGTGCCCAAGCCCCTTTCAGCCGACCTTGACAGTGGTGACGTCTTGATCGTCCCATATGTTGTGGTGGTAGTAGTAGCAGTGGTAGGAGGAGGAGTAGTGCACAGTAGTACTGTTCCCTTGACTCAAAACTGTGCGGATTTGAAATTGTACTGTCCAAGCCTTATTCGACTTTGGAAGGCCCATGCAACATCAATAGTACAACCCTTATCAGACACTTAGAAGCCTCAACAGGAACTCGCCTCTGCATTACGTCAATGCCTGGTGAAAGGGATCTTAATCTAACCTTTGATATTGGAGGAGCTAAGGAGCCAGGGATGATGATAATCCCTGCTGAATAAGGAGCTAAAGAGCCCATGGAACCCCAAAACCACTGGTTAGTAAATACAGCAACCAACTGGCCCTGCCTCCAACGTCGCCCCAAAAGTTTGAACGGCTAACCCTAAGTCTCTTGGTTGATCTCTAGATGCTTGCCTAAACCCTCAAAAGTAAGTAAAATAATGGCCCTAGACCTATAAAAGGCTATTATTCTGCATACTTTTGGGGTCTAGGTGAGTACTTATATACCAGTTTTATTTCTTAGATTTCCTTCACACCAATAAACTCGGCTATACCACCAACATCCTTAAGGCGCCCCTGCACTGTTTTTTGCGATTTCTTGTCGGAAACGGTTTCTGTTTACAGTGATATCCAAGGTTTGTTCTTTATATTACTTGCAGTTAAACTCAACAACCACGTGACAGGCCACCAAGCTATGGACAACCATCGCCGCAAGATCTTATTCGGCTTCGAGTTTAGGCCGACGACCAACTGAGCGTCGAGAGGAAGTCTTTAGTAATTAGGACTTTAATGGAGTGACCCCTACAAATCCCATACACGCCTATTCCAGTTCCTCAAGCCCCAAACAAACCCGTTAAATCCATGCAGCTCGCGCACTTAATTGCAAAAATCGAGATCTAAACGAACCAACCAGGACCCTCCTTGTACGCTCAAACAGGGGTACATGGCCCCAAATAATGGGCATTTAGGGTCTAATAGAGGGTAGATGGAGCGTCTAGGAAGGCATGCATCCAGAGACACGGCCAATAGCAGCAACAGTACACCCTACACTCGTAAACCAACTTAAACCCCACCGCGGTGGTTTCAACCGCGGAGCGTAAACCCCAACCAGGCCCTGAATCCTAAACCTCAGACCCTAAACCCTAAACATAAACTCCCTAAACCCTAAGCCTCGCAGGCCTTCCTTCAAGAGGCGCTCTTGCAGACGGAACAGTTGAAAAGGCTGTCTTCAAGCTCATGGGTTTTTCGGGGGTGTTAGGGTTTAGGGGTTTACGGTTGAGGGGATTAGTGTCTTGGGTGGGTTTTATGGCTTCAAGATGTCTAGGGTTTTGGGATTGAGGTTTGGGGTTTGGGTAGTTTAATAAAAGGGTCGTTTTTGAGCCAGTCCGGCATTTCACTAGGCTTTGAAGGGTTGGATAAGAGTTGCTACGCTTTATGTTTTCATCTGGATGGTTGATTGCATTTTGTCGTTTTGTGGTTTTCTGTAGGGTGTAGAGCTGGTTTGTTTTGTAAAGTAGTTGCGACCGCTTAGGGGTGAGGATTTCGGCTTACTGCTTGCTGGATGCCTCGTTTTGAGTTTCCGAGGTGCTGGAGATTGGGGTGTCGTGTGCCCGCCAGCCACTCAAGTGCTTAAAGGATCATGGGACTTAGTAACCAGGGTTACAATTAGGGTAACTATACTTATAACTACTTATAACCCCAAGGAAGGTACTTATAACCTTACTTACCAAGTCCCATGATCCTCCCCATACCCAATGCAGTCAACAGCTCCCCTCGCTGTCCGCCTCAAGTGACATTCACACTTGAGGAGCCCATGTAGGGCAGAAGCTTTCATGTACCACTACCGAAACCCCAGAGGTTGGAAGTTCTACATAGTTACAAGGGTTTGGGAGTTAAGACTTTCAAAGGTTTAGGGTTTAGGGTTTACTGTAATGTTTGCTAGCTGTTGTATAGCACGCTACAAAGGTTTAGGGTTGAAGGTTTTTACAGCCACGCGTACTCCACCCGATATCCCCCAAACACGCGCCAGCCAGGCGTCATGAGCGCCTGCAAGTTGGCTTCGCCGGAGCGCTGCAGGACTGTCTCGAGGAGTTAAACGGCTTCCCAAGTAGATGGGTTTAGCGTTTGGGGGTTCAGGGTTTAGGGGTTTTGGGTTTAGGGGTCTGCGGTTTAGAGTTTATGGGGTAGTACCCAAAAAGCTGTAAACAATTACAAAGCTGGGAGACATGAGAACACCCAGATGGAACGTCAAATGCACACATCGCTTAGGTCTTCTGAAACCTTTTTGGCAGTCGATCTTGAGGAAAGCCCTGTCACCTCGCGCAAGATAAGTACTCCTACCCTAAACCATAGACCGCAAAGCCGGAATCCTGCCTATAGTCTCCATTGTAGTTCCTTTTTGGGGTTACCTTTTAGGATCCTTAATCTAAAATTGGTTAAACCAAAAAAAGGAACTACACTGGAGACTATAGGTGAACCCTAAAGCTCGGTGGAAGGCTGCCAGTCAGTGGGTAGGCTTCCTGCAGCGCGCGCCGGGCATCCCAGTGAGTCCATAGGTGTCCGATTGCTTTGCTTCTAGTTAGAATATGGGGAAACAGATTCAGGTATCTGTTTGCACTTAAATCATAATATGAAGCCCTATATAATTAGCCATATTCCTTAGTTAAGGGGTATTGGGCTCTCTGGGCAGGTATCTGTGTGAGTAGATGGGGCGGCGGGGAGCATTTTCAATGTGGAGGAGCGGGATTCGGTCTGCGACTGAGCTGCAGGTTTAAGTGTGCACTCTCCCCTACGGTTGCATGAGTCCCAGATTCAATCGGGTGCTTCTTGAGCCCTGCAGCCTAAACCCCTGCGAGCTTGGGGAATTCTTCGTCCCCTAGGTTACCCATGAGTTCTGATATCACTGCTGCCTGCAGATTTCCTGCTTGAATAGAGCGTCTTCATGACGCATGTCCTTCTGTTGTCTCTATTGCTTGGAGGCTCGAGGGCCGCGATGCCCTGAAGATTACGTCGGCCTGCAGAAAGACGTCCTGTAGTCATGCTATGGCTACCCTAGAATGCTAGAACTAATTAATACACCAAACTCTGTTCAAATGGTTAAGGCCCTTTTCAAGGGCTGAGAAGCCCGGTAATCAACCGGTAACCAGTCCCGGAACTCCGGGCCCTAAACCTTCAAGCGCTAGCCATCATTTTCCAGGGCGGCCAATGCATCCCACGGTAACCTCGCGGAGTGCCGGGAGGTGGTCTCTGACACGTGGGTCATTCAGGGTTCAGTTACGTGTCGCGTCAAACGCACATGTTTGGCTGTTCACGAATTTCACACGGTTGGCGCTTTAAGGTTGTGCTAAATGATTCGGGGGCTGAGCTTCTTGGGCTAAGGAGGTTCCCGTGATTTGCAAGCATTGGGGAAGTTGGCCGGGGGGCAGGATCTTCGGGATTTAGGGGTAAAGCTCGAGGCCAAGTAGGGCTGCAAGGCTTTCAGGCCCGGCTCCCGGCGCCGAAACGAATCGAAAGCAACCGTGAACTCAAGTTGTTTGTTGAGGATTCAGGGATGATGAAGGTTTATGGCTTTGGGGCTTAGGGCCGTGTCTGAAGGGTTTAGGGTCCCGATGGGTCCCGCATGTGTGGAAACTTTCCCCAGGAGACAATCGTGGCGAATGGGCAAATGAAACAAAGCGAGGCTTGGTCGCGAGCCATGAGCAGTACCAAGCGCAAAGTTGCGAAGTAGTCCTATATCTGCCAAAGGGACCAGCTCCGGCCATAAACCTGAAACTCTGAACCTAAACTCAAAGTCCTAAACCTAAGCCCCTGTGCGGAGGAATAATCTGTAACAGCATCTGACCTTTGAGCACCTGACGCTGAATATTAGAGTTCAGGGTTCAGGGTTGCCTGGCGACATCGAAATTTTTACACTATACAGAGGGGGGGATGGTGGTTGTAGTGAAGAAGTATACCACCAGAACCACCCGAAGTGCTTTGTCGTTGGGAACAAGCTTCCTGCCGGGGTTCGAGGCGGCCAAACCGGGTCAAGCCGCGATCGAGGCCACCGGCGAAGGGGAAGGGGGGGGGGGGGTTCAAGTTGCAGCTTGAATCCTTAACCCTAAATCGTAAACCCGCATGGCATTGGACCCTAAAGTCTTCCCTTCGAGATGGTGGTGGTTGTCAAGATTATGGTCCCTTGTTGAATCCCTAATACAATACCTTAATGTGGGAGTTTCCGAAAATTAGGGGTACCTTATTTTGGGGTCCTTATAATAAGGATCCTACTATTTGGGGTACTACATTAGGGTCCCCTATTTTCGGAAACTCCCATGTTGACAACCACCCATGTCTAGAGGCCCGTCACCGGGGCCGAGGCTTCTGGGATGAAAAGCTCAAGAATCCCAATCCTAAAAGCAACAGAGGTTTATACATGAATAGAATATATTGCATTGTGTTATATTCTATTATAAGATGTTAGAAGGCAACGGAGGCTTGCTAGAGGGCTGTTTCGGAACTCTTGGGTTTGCAATAATAGGGCTTTCGAGGGCTGTTATAAGGCTGTATTGGGTTTCGTAGGGTTGCTGTAAGGCTGTGTAAGGCTTGATGAGTTGCTGCAAGACTGTACAGGGTTATTTGGGTTTCTTGTAGGCTGTGAAACGCATAACCATGGAGTTGTTATAAGGCTGTATAAGGGGTCGTTGGGTTGTCATAAGTCTGTGTGGTTCTGCACGGGTTCTGCAGTTTTTGTTTCTTGTTTAGTGGGCTCTTCTTCCCATCGTAGCAATTAGTTCCAGAGTCGAATGCTTCCCTTGTCATCGTACCTTCAGTTCTGTAGCATCGGGCTAGATTCAGAGCGATATAGAGTGTTTGTTTGAGGGCACTTGTGAAGTTAGCGTTCTCCCACACCTCTGAAACCCTCCAGTTCCAGCTTCCAACACCCTAAACCCCAAACCCTATAGTTCCCTTAAAGGAGCCCTTATAGATCCCTTTCAGGAACCCTAGGTATTCCTTACCCTAAACCTTAAACCTTCGCTCCGGCTCGAAGTCTACCGCGGGTAGAAACCGAACTTGCTCCGTCCATGGGAGTGGCGGCAGGCGTGGAGCTCTCTTTTTGGGGTTGACTTAGTAGCAGTAGGTAACCTTGAACCTTCGGGGTTTATATGACCCTACCATAATTGAAAAGCTTAACCTTTTTGGGCTAGGGCACTCAGCCCCTGTATAAGTTTAGGATTTATGGGTTTAGGGTTTCGGGTTCACTGCTCGTTTGGTTTTTGGTTCCGTTCATAGGGATCTCGGAGATATTTTTTTTCGCCTTCCTTCTGCGGGGGGTCGGGTTTGGCGGATGACCCGTTTGGGGTGTGAAATCATAGGTCCCAGAATCGCTCGTGGACTTAGACCACAAGCGCAGAACTCAAGAGAAGACCCGCTAATCCCAAACGCCAAATTCAAGACCGAAAGACTTTGTTTTAATTACTATAGGAGCCTAAATAATTACCCATACTATTTTGGGGGTTCCTTATTGTAAATATAGTATAGTGGGCCCAAAACCCTATTCTAATTATTAAGGCCCCCATATTAGTCGATTCAGCTCCAAACCCGTAAACCCCAACAGAAGGCCCAACTCCACGCCTCAAACGCTTTACCCTAGAAACCCTACAGAAACGCTTAGAAGCGCGATAGAACTTGATAGAACGGATTCCAAAGCTCTGGGCCCGAAAAGCCTTAAACTAGACCCTCGACTCCCAACACGAGAACCCCAACATAGGTCCTAAAATTCCAAAAAACCCCGCAACAGACCTTAAGTCCAAACCTCAGTCACTCGGAATACAACAGTAGTACCCTTTTGCCTGTTTTGTTTTAGGGCTTTCTTACTAAAGCCAATTAGTGGGAAACAGGGTGCCCTTACTATTAAGGGGCTACTTGGGAACCAAACGCTAAATCCTAAACCCCTATACCCTAAACCCTTACTATTGAGGGGCTACTTGGTCAACTAGAAAAGGAGGATGCGCCGCTTGCAGCTGGCCGTTTGGGCCCTCGCGCCCCTGGCTGCTGTGAGCAGGCCGTTTGTAAGGGTTCCTTTGAGGCTTCCTACACAAGCCTCCGCCGGACAAGGTCTCCCACAAGGGTTTCAGGTTTAAGATGTAGGGTTTAGGATGTAGGATAGGTTCAGGATGTAAGGTCCACAGCCCTGCTAAATCCGAAAAGCCCTTCAAGAAAAGCCATAAGACCTTTGCAAAAGCTTGTAAAGCCTTGTACTATAGTAACCACATCACCCTTCTCAAACACCCCCCTTTTCATAAGCACACATTGAGGCGAATCCTCCCGAAATCATCCCTTGCCCTGTAAAGTCTACTCCGAATGAGCGGGAACAAGAGCAAGAGCAAGCGCAAAAGCAGGAGAGGTACTGTTGATGATATAAATCCTGCATTATCTTGAGGACCCTAAACTATGGGAATTATGGCGCAGGATTTCTATCATCAAACGTAGTAAGAGCAGGAGCTCCGGCGGGAGCAACAGCAAGAGCAGGAGCAGGCGCAAGAGACGTAGCAGAAGCAGGAGCAAAAGCCAGCGCGGGAGCAGGAGCAAGAGCACGACCCCGCAAAAGTGGCAGTAGAGATAAAAAACACCCTAAGAATTAGCACACTTTCCGAGTTTCTATGGGGGGGGGGCATTTAGTATTAGGGGGAACGGATCAGAAGCCATGGAAGTTGGAACATGGGTTAGAGATGATGAGCGCTGGAGTTGCCTTTACTTGACATATGTTAAGGGTTCGAGGATGAAGCCTATAAAACGCCCTAAACCCTACACCGTTTTCAGGCCCCTTCTAGAATGCATGGCAGCAGGCAGAGCTCCGCCAGCTGCCCCGAACATGAGTTGGACCGCCGCTGTATGTCGGGCAAGGCGAAGGTCTAGGGTTTAGGACTTGAGTTTGCGGGTTCAAGTTTTAAGGTCTGGGGTTTGGGGCTTAAGGTTCAGGGCTTTGAGTAGCTTCTACCACCCTAACGTCGCCAGACTGTGTCGTAGAAGAACTGGCATGGTGGTTGTTGTGGTGAGGGTCTTTTCAGCAAGGGTGCTTCCTTAACCCAGCATTGAACTGGTGTTGAGACCTGTCAATGCTAAGCTGCGCACCTTACGAATCTCTGAACAGGAGGGCTACGAGTGTTAGCCTAATGCCCACTCCAAGCGAGCTTAAACCGGAAATATATTGTTACAGAAATTCCCGTGCTACCACTTCTTCATCATGTCCTTGTCTTCAGAAAGGAAGACTTGGGATGGCCTACGTTGATCGCGTAATTTCTACTCTTGCCTTGCTTCGGATTTTGGTAGTCTTGGCTTAGCCTCGCTGGAGGCTGGGGTTGCATCCTCTGTCTGGTGCATAGTAGGGAGGGGCGGAATTGGATCCCTATAGTAGTCGCTATACAATCCCCAACAACAGTCTCGATAACCCATTCCCCCATTTTTTGAGTAAGAACCAGATAGTCCTGTAGTTACGAGGAGCAGACTTCCATGGACAAGGCGTGATGTCAGGTGTGGAGCAATGAGAACTACGTCATCCCAGACCGGGAAATACGGGACTTGCTTCAGCCTAGGGATATCTTATTTTGAAGTCTTGAGAACAAGGATGCATCCCACGACTACAGCGAGTCCTTACAGGACGGATCGTACAGCAAGGATCCTACTCTTTGCATAGGAATCTACATAACTGGCATGCCTTTTGTTGCGTAGCAGCCTTTCCCTGAGTGGCTCCCATCACAACATGTCAGGTGAAGAGCAGGCCCAAGTTAAGGGTTGCTGTTTTTGTCAACGGTGAGCGTTCGTGGCGTATGGTTTAGGAATTAAGGACTCGGGTTCCCAGAGAGCCCAATACCCCTTAATTACGGAATATAGCTTAAACCATAATATGAAGCCCTATATAATTTAAGCCATATTCCTCAATTAAAGGGTATTGGGCTCTCTGGGTTCGTAGCGGGCTGTTGGAAGTCCTTGTACAAAGAACCCCAGAAACCCTAGACCCGAAGGCTGGAAGGACAAACACTACCTTAACCCTGAGAACCTACCCTTTTTAGGGTTCCTTAATATGATTTCCTTATATAAGTCCTTAAAAGGGTAGGTTATTCCGGGTTCGGGTTAAGGTAAAACCCTAAGTCCTAAACCCTAATCCGTAATCCCTGAACCCTAGTCCCTGAACAAAGGAAAGCTGCCCAAATTCCAAGACCCACAGTTGGGAGGACGCCTTGGAGCTAGTTGAAGCTGAACAACCACAGCTTCCAGGAAACTTATACTTACTGCAGGTGCCTTTGGCTTCAGGGCTTAGGGGTTTGCCGTCTACCTTAAACTACCATAGCCTACCTTTTGTGGACCCGAATTTCTAAGTTTACGGGAACCCTATTAAACAAGAGGTTATGATAGTATAGGGGTTACTGTGGCAGCTACTCTTGGTAGGCTTCTCTTCTCGATAAAGCTGACTCCGATCGCCTGCGTAAGTTGGAAGTGTGGATTATATTATATATTTAACGAAAAATATTTATATTAATAATGGTAATGATAATAATATAGTGTATTCTAAATTACATAGTAATGACGAGATGCCCGCATGCATAGACATCAAGACGTTGAGGCCGACATTCGAAACATCACGATTGCAGAATCTTCGGTGGCTTGATATGTGGGATCTATCGTGCACAGCATTCCGACCCTTGAGATGTGGGGCCTCGGAGAACCTCTCCGATCTTGTCTTCTGATCTTTCAGACCATTTCATACCTGGAACATGCGATAGAAGTTCAAAGCCCACATCTTACGTCCAGAATCTCTTCCAGACCAGAAATCCCCAAGAATGAAAAGTCTAAGGTTGAGGCCTTTGATGGCTTGTAGGTGGATGTTCAGGTATGTTTATCTGCAGCTTCAGGTTTGAGGTTTAGAGGATCCACCGTATGGCAGGGGCGGTTTAGGCTTTAGGGTTGAGGGTTTAACGGTGTGGGGTTCAGGGTTTAGGGTTTAGGCTTTCAGGGGTCAGGTGCAGACATCCATACTGCAGCTGCCACTTGACGCTGATGCCACG